CAGCGCTGTCCGAAGACGTCTCCGTGGTCATGTGGCTGGCATGACTAAACTCTGAAGGCACACGGAACGCTGTTACCTTCCCACCAAAGGTGGCTCCTATTTTTCTACTTGCATTTTTTACGTGCTTTCGAACTGCTAGGTTGGTAGAAACTGGGACAAGTCACGGGAGCTCACTCCATTATGTGGCGCTAGGGATTCGAACCGCCGAAGTGTGAACCTTTCTGATTGACAAGCTCAGCGTCTTAGCCACTGAGTCACCGCGTCCCACTGTGGGAGAGTCTAAATTGCCATTACGCAACCGATCATAAGTCAAAGTTTACCTGTATTTCTCCATCTTCTCTCTGCCATGTTTTGGAGTCTCGTAGCAAGCACAGATTGAAGAAACAATTGTTGGGTTCACACAAGGCAGAAAGCCACCATCTGGGTGAGTAGGGATTGAGGAAGGTACATGAATCCAGACATCCTGTTTTATGAGTCAAAGCTTGTATTGTAGCTCAGCATTCTGGCCTCTTGACCAAAGCATGGGTCTGCATGATTGAATCCTGGCCATTGTTGTGTTCATGAATGAACTCAGCAAGGATTGGTTGATTAAACCATGATTAGTTGGATCCATGTAACCCTCAGCTAAAATCTGAGCTAACCCCATGATGGCTTATATGCCCAGTTGATTAGATTTGACTTTTTTGTTGGGAAGAAGAGAGTTGAATTCTGTTTTGGACAGAATATTCATAGAGTTACCCTTTTGTTATGTTCATTAAGCCTATATATGTTGGCATGTTGTGAGTATCTTTCTTGTTTCATCAGGTGAAAAAAGAGCTTTCATCTTTGGAAAGTGGACAGCAATTGGCCAGTCGCTTTTGGCCAGTGTTCCTCAACCTTTCCAACTTTAAGCTGTGTGGACTTCAATTCCCAGAATTGCACCAGCCAGCATGCTTAAATTGATGGCGGTTGAAAAATGTTGGTTTCCTTTCCCCCAGGTTTTCTTTAGTTTAGAATTGGGAACTTAATCGCTCCTCCTCCCCCCCCTTCCATCTGCCTTTCTTTTCTCTGCCTCCCTCCACTGAGTTGGACATAGTTCCCAGCTCAACCGAGGTGGTGAGAATTCAGTCCCCTAACAAGTTCATCAGAATCCGCGTCAAATACACTGGGAGTCCCATTGTTTTGAGTTCCTGCAACCCTCTCTGTGTTTCTTTCTAGACATGATGATCTCAAAGAGATGCTGGACAGCAACAAGGATTCCTTAAAACTGGAAGCGATGAAGAGGATTGTGGCGGTGAGTATCTCTTCAGTGCTGTCACGTCTGTTTAAGAGACCCTTTGATTGTGAGATGATGGCCAAGACCCAGCGCTCTCCTTTGTTGTGGCCTGCCAGGGGCCAGTGGAGCTGGCAGCACTTTTGGACAGTAAGGAGGTTGGGGAGGAACATGGGCCAGTCCTGGAGTCTGGGGAAAGCTCTGATGAAGGCTCTG